GGATTCAACGCAGAGGAGATCACAATCGACAAGACCACGATCAGACTGTGGGACGTAGGCGGCCAGACCACAATCATAAACTTCTGGAAAGAGTACGTGAAGAACACGGATGGCCTGGTCTTCGTGATTGACATTGCAGACACGCAGCGATACAGAAAGGCATTCGAGGCGTTCCAGCAGCTCGTTGAGCATCTCAAGGAGAACATTCCGGTGCTGCTTCTGCTGAACAAGACCGATTTGGTGACGAGTGGGGCCGTGAGGGCGGAGAAGACGAGTGAGATCAGGGGGCTGTTTCATTGCGATGACTCGAATGGAATGGTCGTGGATGGGAAGAAGTATCGGTGCAGAATCATGGATTGCAGTGTGAAGAATGAGCAGAATTCGCTGATGACGAATCCAGGCTACTCAGTGGTCTCTAGCAACATCTACGCCGGATTCAGGTGGGTCATGCGCGTGGCAGACGGGAAGGATGCCCTTTAATTAAAGCGCATGCTGTCGACGAGGTGTCTGAGGACTCCAACGAACTTCTCTTCAAATTCCTCCTCTTTCTCAACCACGGTGTGGAATAGGCCAAATGTGCCCAGGAAGCTCTCTCTCAGAATGCGTCCATTCACAAGGGAGATTCGGGCCATTCTTCTGATGCTGTTTTTATCGAGGATCAGAGCAACGAAGTTGGCTCGATGGGAGCAGTTGAAGATTCCGTCAGTGAGGACGATGTTCAGGTCACAGGCAAATTGTGGATCGTCGATGAATTGGACATTGGTGGACTCGTCTGAGAATGTCAGGTCGCCCAGGCTGTGGAGTCTCTGGAGATCAGTTCCAAATCGAAACAGAGAGAGATCAATTCCAAGGCAGCGGAATGATGTGCTGATCTTGTTGAGTGTTGCTCCAAGCAGATCAACCAGGCTGTGGCTGTCCATTGATTTGCTGTTGTCGATGAAGATGTTGAAATTGTAGTTGAACTGGTTTCGGGCTCGTCTCATCCAAATTCTGTCTTTGCTGAATCCACTTGCAATGTAATTCACCACAGCTTTCATGCTCAGCTTCTTTCCTGTTTTGAAATTGCCGCGGTATTTGCTGTTTTTATTGGTTTCAAGGACAGTTCTGATCAAATTGATCAGTTTTATACAATGCTTGTTTTCTGCCGTGATTTTCAGTCTCTTTGTTGCACTCTTGATGTTAGTTGCCTTATCGTCACTTCCTTCGTCCTCTCTTTTTCCTATTTCTGTACCATTCTCAACTGCTTCCAATAAATCATTTTTAGTTCCAATTTCTGCTGCAATTCTCAGGTCATCAAATTCATCTGTTTCATTGTTGCAAGTTTGATCCATATTGATTTTGGTGTAGTCTTTGTAGGCGTATTCTGCTGGTAGATTGGATTGCTGTTCCTGCTCTATTGATCTAGTGACAGATTGTTCAGTAGTATGAGACTCATCTGCTTCCTCTGATATTCCACTGATTTCATCATCAATATCAGTGTCATTATTGTCAATATCAGTGTCTGTGATACCTGATGGATCTTCGATCATTCTTTCGCACTGATTGTTTTCTTCCTTTGTTTCATTGCTCTCTCCACTTCCTTCGATCAGATCCTCTTTTTCTGTTTCATGTTCGCTTTCTACTTCGTAATCAGCTTTGCCTTTGTTGTCTAATTCATCTGCATTGGATTCTTCTTCAACTCTCTCATTCTTATCGTATTCATCGTTTATTTCATCCTCATTCAAATCATTCTCTTCCTTATTTTGCTCAATCTCATCACTACAGTTCTTTATTCCTTCTCCTTCTTCCTGATCTTCTGTGTATGAAACTGATTCCTTAATGATTTTGTAAATCAGGTACAGATAATCCAATTTGATCTCGTTGCATAGAGCATATTTGATCATTCTGTTTGATTTGTCTGCATTCTTTATGTGTTCAATATTCTGGTTGTAGATATGGATCAGTTTTGCAACTGCTGTCAGGTATTTCAAATTGTGCTGTGAATTGTCTCTTTTCATGAAATATTCAGCCAGGTTGGTCTCTGGTTCTTCTGGCAGTTGCAATTTGTTGATGAATGATTCATACAAATTGTCTTTGATTATCAGATCGACTGCCTTACAATCACACAATTTCGTATTCTTGATTGATCTTTCAACTGCCTTTCTGAATTCACTCTCTGTTTTGCTCTTGTTGTTTTCACAACATTCACTCATTTCCTGTTTGATCATCTTCACATCCATTACAGTTGTCACTGGTTGTAACATGAATCCACCTCGATAACTTTCCACAATCTCATTGAACCTTTTGAATGTTCGAATTGTTGCTCTCTTTAACTTGATCAATAACTCACTCTCCTTATTCTCTTTCATTCTAGTCAGATCAAATGCATCCATCAGTGCAATCCAATTATACAATTCGTGCTTTTTGTTGTATTGTTCCAACCATTCAGTACCTTTCTTATTGATCAACATTCCATAATACTCCTTAACAAAGAATAGTCTCTCTACGAATTCATAGACTGTGCTATTGTAGAAGTATTCTTGTGTTACTTTGTGGTATTTCAAATATCCAAACCAGTTGTAATTTGGTTCAATCTTTAGCATAGCAGCAACATTCTTCCTATTGATCAGGATATCGATCAATTGCTTCTCTGTTTTGTCATTGAATAGGGAGTTTTCACTGCAATATTCTACAATTTCACTTGGTGTAGTAAAGCAACTTAGTTCTCCAATTGTTTCGAAACCGTCTACTCTTTTCAATTCTTCATAGTTGATTGTAATTGTGTCTGATCTTGTTTCTATTACCCTGATCGTATTATCATCATGCTTGATCATATTTAGAAGAGTTCTATCATAATCAGCATCATCAAACCATACGAAAATCAATGGGATTATATTGATGTCAACTGTGATGTTATTGTTGCAAATTGCTCCATATAATACTGTACTAGTTTCATTTGACTGATTTGTAAGTAGATTGTAACTGTATTTGTTGTATTCCTGTCTTGAGCACTTTCTGATTTGCTTGTTTTTGACAAGTTGTAAAACGGCCTCGTTGTAATTGAATTCAGGTACTGATGGTTGGCTGTCTGTTCTGATATTTTGAATTGATTCAAGTGCCATTAGAACAACACAATCATCAAAGTTATCTCTGATACGCTGCATTCTGCCACCAAAGAATTCTGATGGAAAATTGTTGCTACTGATTGCTGTGATGAACTCCATGAAATCCCTGTTTGGATTGATGCCAGATAACACCTTGCTGTATTTTGCATTGATATTCTCTCTTTCTCTTTTCAATGCCTGTAATTTTGTCATATCACCTGAATTGTACTTATAGCATTTCACTAGCTCACTATTGATTTGATCAATGATGTTGTTTTCTTCCATAGCTGCTTTGTTCTTCATGTTCTTGTAGAACACTAATGCTGGATCAACCTGTTCTGAAATGCACGCCTTCAATAACCTGATGGTTTCTCTAATCTCATCTGTTACACTGTCACTCAATATAAAGCATTTTGTTCCAATAACCGTTGCAACTTTCTCTTTGAATTCTTTCATTTCTTTCAGTTTCTTGTTTTTTAGGTTTCTGATCATCAACTTCTTCAATTCAACTGAGTTAAATTCACTCAAATTGAAATTCAGCATATTTTGCTCATCTTCAAACAACCTGATTATTTCATATGCTTTTGTATCCTTGAATTGAATCAGCTGCTCATAAACATCAATGTATTTGGTGTTTTGATTCTGGTCGATATCATTCTTTCTAATGCAGACGTAATTCTGTATATCAGATTCTTTGATTAGATTTGGGATTATATCGGTGCATATTTGATACCTTTTCCACTTTTCTAGATCAATTCGATCCCATTCCATCCCATTCTGGTATTTCTGTACATCAGCAAAACCAATCAAACTGGTACCTTGAACATTGATCTTCAACAAATCAACGTAATCATACGTGTCACACAGATTGATGACATGACACCTATCTCTAATCGCCTCTGAAAATGCCATTTCGTCATCTGCAAATAGCACAAACACACACTTTCTGTTCACAGCTATCTCAGTTTCAATACTTCTCTCATACACATTCAACGTGCTCTTGAATTCAAACAGACAGTTCAATCTGTCAAAAACTGCTTTCTCTACGCTTTCTGCGTTGTGAAACACCACGACATTTTCGTTTTGAATCGCATCAACCAACAATGAATCTTTCCAGGTAAACAATTCCGCCGTCTCTTCCGTATTGTTGTTCTTAGCATATCCACCCAATAAATCAGTGATATCTGTTTCCTTAGAGCAGTAAATGTTTGTAATTCCCAATCCAAATAACTTTCCAATAAATCTGATCATGTTCCTTCTTCCAAATTCACCTTTCAAAATAACTGGAATCTTGTTCAGAATACACTGTAACAACTCGTAGAGCGCGTTGATCTGACTATGAACAATGCAGAATTCTCTGTCCAATTCCTTGTATTCTATGCACAGGTCATTTAGCATAAATACTCGATCATCTGCATAAAAACCACTGTTAATTCTGCTTACAACTGCACCGTACAATTTGTTCTGTCTCATTTTGTTCGTTTTGATGTTTTCTCTCAAACTCAACTTCTTGTTGTGTGTGAATTCGTATCCAAATTGCGCCTTTAATATTTCATTGATCTCATTATCTTTGTATTCCTCCAGTTTCACGATGATGAATCGATCCAGAGAGCTCTTTGGTAGCTCCTTTCTTCCTTTGACTTCACTAGGATTCATTGTTGCAAAGATCTTAGAATTCTCATGCACCTTGATTTCCTCACCATTGGTTAATGTTATTGATTTTCTGTAATCCAAAATGGAGTTCATTCCTTCTAACACACTTTGGGAACACAGATTGATTTCATCAAGAATGATCCATTCACCACTTTGTAGATATTTCACCAAGGTGGATTTACAGAAGCAAATCGAGTTGCCCTTACAAACCATTGTGCCCAATAGATCATCAATTTCCGTGTTTTCTGATAAGTTGATCCTAAGCACCTTCTTTCCGCACATTTTGCCCAAGTTCTCAATCAATGACGTCTTTCCTGTTCCTGGCAAACCAACTAAGAGCACGCCCATATCAAACAGAAATGTTCTAAACACTCTGTTGGTTGCATTGAAATACAGAAAGTGTTTGTCTTCTGATTTCTTTAGCATCTTTAGGCTGTATTCTGCCACATTCTCAGATTGTCTGATATTGATCAGATCATAGATTTCATTTAGTAGCAATCCTTGTCTTAACTTATTCGCATTCATCACAACCGTATTATCAGTGTTATTGACACATTTCAGGTATTCAACAACCATGCTACCTTTTCTTACACTCACTACCTTGATGATTTCCATCAGTTCATTTTCAATTTCATTCGCTACAATAAACGGTTGAATATCTCTGCATTTCTCCCTGAATATTTCAATTTTTTCTTCTGGTTCCAACGTGAAATAGATTTCAGTGAATCTGTTTCTAAATGCAGGTGACAACTCTTTTTTACCGAAGTCTCCAGATGGATTCATTGTAGCTGCGATTCTGGCATTTTGAAATGTGTATCGCCTATTTATCTCTGGTATAAATAGAGATCTATCTGTTTCTAGCAGACTGTTCAATCTTTCCAGAACTGATCCATCTGCTAAGTTGATTTCATCAATCAGAAAGCAATCACCATTCTCTAATGCTGTAACTAAGGTGCCGTTATTCCATTTGATGTCACCATCTTTGAATTCAAAATGACCCAGAAAGTCACTTACATCAGTGTTCTCTGACAGGTTGATTGTTTTCAGTTTTCTATTGCACTGTCTTGCAACATAATCACAAATCAATGTCTTACCAATTCCCGTCTCTCCAACCAGAAGAACAGATTCGTTATTGTTCCATGCGTTACTTACTAGGTGAATCAGTTTCCTGAATGATTTCGTGATAACCAAATCATTTGAAATGCCTGTAACTTGCTGGATGCATTTTTCATTGTAGAAATCCTCCAAATTATCTGCTTTTATCTTTTTCCCAAACACCTTGTTGAACACATCAAAAACTGTGTTTCTCTTTGACCTTATTCGCTCTGTGAATAGTTCCAAACCATGCAATAACAATTCCTCGTGAGTAGTTGGCTTTCTATTGCACCACTTCAATACATCTCTTAGTGTCACTTTGGTTTGTAATGTGAGATCATCACATGTAATCAATTGCTTGAACGTCTCAACAACCAAATCAATAAATGATTTTGGGAGCACGAACAACCTCTGTATTATTATCCTGATCTCGTTTTCATCCTTTTCGTTGAACATCAATTCAACAAATCTATTTCTAAATGATCTTGCAAGACCTTTTCTACCTTCATATGCGATATTTTGGGTAGCAAATAGCCTAAAACTGATGTGTGGTTTCACTATTTCCTCTGTTTCTGGGATATATATTTCTCTATTATCATCTAGTAACCTGTTGAGTGATTCTAATACATCTGATTCTGCCAAATTCAACTCATCTAAAATAATCCAGTTTCCTTCTTTCATTGCCTTGATGAGTGGTCCGTGGACAAACTGAAATAATCCATTCACTGTCCTGTACATTCCTAAATAGTCACCAACATCAGTTCCCTCATGGTTGTTTATGCGTGTTACTTTTTGATTTCTTTCTTTTGCTAATGCATAAACCATACTTGTCTTTCCTGTTGATGTGTTGCCCTGTAACAAAACAGGCAAATTTAAATCCACTGCTGCAATCAAATCACTCAAAATAATTTCTGTTTGTGGTGTCAGAACGTATTCAGTTGAACTCAATTGGATCCTTTCTGTTTTGATTTCAACAGGTCCAAACATCTCTGAAAACAGTTCCACTGCCATTGCACGTGAACTCAAGTTGAGTTGTGTGAAAACCAGTAGGTTGAAGCACCTGAAAACTGATTCAGTTGTGATTATCCCTTGATTTAGCGATTTGATGATTCTACAAAATGTTCTACCTGTTACAACTGGTTCCAACATGTTTGAGTAGACTTTCTTGGTGATATTCTGCTTTACGGCATAGAAATACTCACATATTTCATTGGAAATGCTCTTACTGACTTCTGTATTACAATGATGATCAAATACCATTTTGATATCTTCCAGGTTATTTGAGAAGTCTTCAAATATTACGGTGTTGAATGCGCTTGTTTGAAACTGTTTCTTTCCGTAGTCTCCAAATGGATTCATGCATGCGAATATCCTGAAATCATCGTGCATTTCGATTATTTCTCCTGATTCCTGCAATAAAAGGAATCTTTTGCTTGCTATACTTTCTATCAGCTTCAAGGTCTCCTCAGGTGCCAAATTGATTTCATCGAGCAAAATCCAATCCCCGGATTTCATAGCCTGTGCTAACTTCCCCTTCTTGAATTCAAAACAGATTTTGTTTTTTCTGATTTTATCCAGTTTCCTGATTTCATTTTTGATATCACTTTCTTCTTTAATTGTTTCAAGCATGTGTTTGATCTGTGAGCAAATGCTTCCTGATATAATTGTCGTAGGATATTTCTGCTTGAATGTTTTTGTGATTTCCTGAAACTTTTTGTCGAAATCAAATGTCTTAAACCCACCAACGAGCTCAAATCCATCAAAATCACTGGACATATTGATCACTGAGAGTTTCCTGTTATTCTCTGCACATATTTCCTGAATCAATGCTGTTTTGCCTGTACCAGTCTCACCAATTAGTAGAGTGGGTGTCTTTGTTTTTACATTGAATTCAATAGCATCAAATGCTGCTTTAATGCTCTGTGTCAATGCTAAATTGATCCTATATTCTCTGATTTCATCTTCAACGTATAATTCATTTTTGATCTCCAATGAATCGTGCAATAAGAAAGTGTTGACAATTGCCTGGTAGTATACTGCTCTATCTGCCTTGCTTTTTGTAAGATTCTTGACTAATTTGTAAAATCTCACATATTTCAGGAAGTGTTCGTTACAGAGAACTACATCACTTCCTTCTTCAATACAACTACAATCAACTGGTTTGAGACAAGTTAAATTGCATTTGGTGCCACTATCTCGTAAACATCGTTCACTTTTGTTTCCTAATATGCATAAATTCATCAGGTTTTTAAACTCGCTCATCTTATGCATTATTGGTCCAATAAAATTCACATTTCTGTATTTGAATGGACTATTTGCTGTAAAGAACAGTCTAAAATCATCATGTGCTGTAATTCTAGTTCCATTGTTGCACATAATGCTTCTTTCACTCACAACAGGCATCAAATACTGTTGTACTGCTATACTTTCATCAATCCTCTTTAAACAAAGTTTCTTGCCTGTTTTCATTGCTTCAACCAGCACGCCCTCTACAAAAACGATTTCGTGGTCATCGAATGCCCAAAATCCTCCCAACATCTTCACATCTGCAATTTCCCTGGTATCCACAAAATGAATGTCTTTCACACACTTCCTTAGTAAATGGCTCTTTCCCTTGTTGCCGAATAGTACAACTGGATATCTAATCGCTTCACTCATTTCAATTTGCTTCAATAGCTCTTCTTCTCCAACGCATTGAATCATAGCGGTCAAAATTCTCAAAATTATTTTATCGATTTTATTCGTTTTCCTTTTTGCTCACCAACGTAGTTCCAAATGAATGAATGAACGTATATTCGTTCTTGTATTGTTCAAAATACTCCACAATTTCAAAATGATCAATCTCCTTGCAATTTTCGTCAAAATATCCGTAATCAACTAATTCCTCAACTATCACAATCTTCCTGATGTAATCGTGGTAGATACTGTAGTAATCCTTGAATTTGAGCTGTGCTATTGCATCATTTGAAAGCAACACGCATTTCATGAACTTCTTTGTTGGCATCGCTATCGTGTCTGCCTTGGAAAATCCCTTGATGAGTCCCTGTCCCTTGAAGTGCTTTATGCACTTGTTATATATCTTCTCCAGCTTAATTCTATCAATTCCGGCATCATTAATCATTTGATCAACTTTCTCAGTGAAATTGTCTAAGCTTAGAGATGATTTCACCAGCAGAAACTTCGCGAGTTTGAACATTTCTCGTTCATTCTCCTTTGGAATGTATTGTGTCTTATTCTCTTGTATTGTTGGAGTGCTGATGAACTCAGACAGTAACTTTTCAAGCACCTTTTTCTTTTTCAGGCCCAATTCCTTGCCACTTCTTTCCAATTCTACTTTTAGCAGGTTTTGAGCATTTTCCTCTGTTAATTTCTTCTTGATTTTGTTCCAGAATCCTACTCTTTCATTGTAGCTGATCCAAACATCCTCATAATCTTCTGAAGCTATTTCATTCTTTTTGTATTTGATGATCTCCGTTATACTAAATTCAATCATACTCTTCTTCTCTAAGTATCTGAAAAGGCCTTTGAAGTAGGTTGGACTCAGGCCATGTTGTACTGACTTACCATTTTCAAATCTTTTCAGGTTCGTAATGCAAGATAGTGGGAAATGTATCATTTGATCCATCAGTGCGCATATAAATGGCTTAATGTATCCATCATTCGTCAATACCTTTCCATTGTAATCTGACAGACATGTTTCTGGATCTTTCTTCGTAATTTCTTCTATTTTTTGCAAATCAAATAGATCCTTATTGAATTTGAATAGATCAAGTGCAAGTTCTGCAACGATGTGTCTACGTTGCACCTTTGTTAAATTCAAATACGTTTTGATTTTCAGGGATAGGATGTCACTGCCTTTGAACTGAACCATTTTGTCACTCGTTTCTAGAACACTGTAAAGAACCCTGGCTCTTTCTGTCTTGCTTTGTATCCAGTAATTGTCTCTTGCAGCTGCTTCTTGATCATTGAACAATGCCTGTTCTATTTTATAAGCTATTTCTGCAGTCTTTTTATCATAATTCAAATCATCTTCATCATTCTTGAACCTTTCTTCAATATGTTTCACTGTAAACTTGTTGGAATCGTAAAACACCTTGTTGCTTCCATTGCTGTTGATTACATGGTGATACTTGTATCCCATTTCTAGTGTTGCCCTGGCTATTGATTTCTTATCAAATTGCACATCTGTATTGATCTGCTTTTGTATTTTATCTAGCATATCCCTATTTAGAACAAATATTCCACCATGTTTTGCCATATATTGCCTAATCAAACGCTCTCTATCTTCCTTGCTTATCATGGACTTGTTGATAATATCTGTTTCCTTTCCTTGTAGTCTTTTCTCATTTTCTGATTTATAAGTTCTGAATGTCCTTTTTGTAAAGAAGACGTACGTGAGTGATTTGTGTATTGTCATCTGCATTGATATGTACTCTTTCTTGTTTTCTTCCACTTTAGCCAATAAATCCTTTAGTGTTGTTTTTGATGCAAATCCGTATTTCTCTTTCAGGTAACTTGTTGTTACACCTGACATCTGCGTGTTTAATTCATGTTCTATGATTTCTCCATATCCGTATCCCCTGTACAACACCGGTAGACTTGTTCGTTTATTCTTGTTCACTTGGTTGCTTCTGTCTCCCTCAGTTCTATCGTAGTTGAATTCCATTAGCCCGTTATCATCGATCTTGATCACAATCATCTCCTTCAATTTCTTACATGCATAACACGTCTCTTTTGCTTGGAGTTTTGTGACTTTTCTTATTTTCTCTGCATCCATCTTCTTCTTTGATACAAGAATGGCATCTACCACTGCATAACTGGCATGACACGTAATCCTACTATTCACCCCAAATGCCATGTCTCTGAAACTGAATGTATTGAACCTAACAATGGTATCTCCTGTTACTTCTGCGGCCTCAACCAATTTGCTTAGCCTAAAATTGCATCGTAAATCTTCAACAGTCTCCTTTGTTACAAATTCCACCATTTTGCAGTGCATCATTTCCTCCTTCTCTTTCGATGTGAAATTTCTCACCTCTGTCCCGTACAAACCAAATCCAAGCAACTTTTTGCTCAGCTTCGAGTTCAATTCATTTGTTTGAATGTTTTTCATGGGGTAAAATATAGCAGCACAGAAGTCAACTCTTGTTTACTCTTTCTTTTCATCTCTGATTTCATTGAAATCCCATCTGCCTATCTTGGTCCAGCCTGATTCATTCATGAAGAACACGTTTACAGTTCCACCAGAAAAGGCATCTCTGTGTCCTGCGCAGTAAATGGCTTCTTTTCCAAGCTGAATTGCCTCTTCTTTTGTCAAATCGTGATGGTACTTCGCACTCAACACTCCCAATGCTATTGTTGAACCAGATCCAACTGAAAACAGGTTGTTTTCAATTCTACTACCACTGTCATCGACCATGAATATCTTTGGACCATCTTCATCGTATCCGCAGACCATAGTTCCCATACTCAAGCCATATCCTCTGTACTTATTGACACAATTTGAAAGATAGTGCGATGCCTGTGAAACTGTAATTCTTCTACCTGTTCTGATTTCATGCATCTTGGCATATTGGCCCATCTTCTTCTCCCAATAGAAACAGTCAGCTGCACCACCTGCCATTGTTCCAAGCAGATGCCTATTCACTTCAATGACCTTGTTTACTGTTTGTGATGCGATGTATGAGCCAGAGGTAGCACGTGAATCCACTGCGATTATCATTCCCTCTTTGAATGTGAATGCAAGCGTAGTTGTACCGTGCACTGGTGCTATTTTGGTCTCAATGAACTCCTTGCTGACCACAGGTTCCTTTATTTCGTAAAGTGTTGGATTTGTCTCTTCAAAATATTCCATGGGCTAAAATGGCAAAGCAACAAATTGTGAACCAACTTTTTAAAATGAAAAGTGATGGCTCCATGGATGCAAAGAGCACTGCCAGGATATTTGGATTGTTTGAACAGGTATATTTTGATGAGAAAACTGTTTTGGTGTTCAATTCCAAAAATGGCATGTTTTGTAAGGCAGTAGAAGAATTGGGTAGCTTGTTTTGCTGTGCAGTAGACGTTATGTTTGATACGAACTTCAATGTAAATGTGCCTGATGTAACCAAAATACGTACAAGAAGTCTGTGCTTGTCGAAACACTTTGATATTGCGATGATTGAACCATCAATTTTCAGAAAAGATTCATGTGAAACTGATTGGATCGATTGTGCCTTAAAATGCAGTAAGGAAGTCTTTATTGTCACTAAAAATAGTGAGGTGGCCACCAAATACAATACGGTGCTATTGGGTGAAGTGGATCTCACTGTTGTGAAATCAACGAAATATCAAACGGGTAGAAGCAACCTGGTGACGTACCAGATCATCAAAATTCTAAATCCTACAATTTATTGGCATTTGTCTTATTATTTTACACAGGTATTTTTGTAGTGACCAGCGAGTTTATAAATGCGTCGTCAAAAAGTATATCTACGTTTTCTTTCTCCCATTTGTATGGATTAAACACCAGAATCGTCTTGGTTTGATTGTCTGCGCACTTTGTGTCTCCCAAAATTACGAACTCTTCCAACTGCGTGCTGTAGTAGTATCCCTTGTCTATGATCTGATTGTATGCGCGTATCTGCATCTCTGTCTCATTCATGGCGTAGAATATGTAGAAGAGCGTCTCCTCGTTGAAGCATTCTATTTTTATAGTGGGCTTTGTAATTTCAGAATAGCACTTGGGTCGCATTCTTCGTAGAGCCGTCTCCGTGTGCATGTCTGTAAAATAGTTTAGGTTCGTGGATCTCTGTGCTATTTTGTCTATTTCCTCGTTCTCTATATCTGAAGATGACGCCATTAATTTCAACATGTCTTTCAACTCTCGCATTTTCTGGGTTAAATTTTTTCGCCTAATATTTATTCAGGAGGGTTTCTGACATTTGATCGTAGATCTCAGGTTCATCCTGGTTCGCTTCAATGGTTTTGAAAGTATTCAATGCAGCTGTTACGTCAGAGTTATAAGCCATTGCAATTGGCTTATTGTATAGCAATGCATTGAAGATGTATTCATATTGGCTCAGACCACCAAAATGCGTTTCAACAATCACATGCACCGTATTCCAGCTTACAACCTCAATGCGCTTTTCTGTACCATCCATACACACTCCATTCAAATAAATACAGTCTTCTGATGCAAATGAGAATATCAGCTCTGCTTCCTTGAAGTCTTCACATTCCTCAATCAGCATTTTCAAGTTTCCTATTGACTCTTTCTTTATTTTGAAGACAACTTCAGATTTCTTTTCTGGCAATGCTTTACCTGCCTTAAACACAACTTCCACATTCTCCCATTTCTTGTCATCGATGGTTGCCTTGAACGCCACAAGTGTCTCTGTTTTTGATCCTTTTACGACGTAATCTTCATATTGTCCCTTGATGAGTGATTTACGATCAATTTTCATTTTGTTAATAACCTCTGCTCTTGCTTTGGCGTATTCTTCCCCAGTATTCAGGTCTGTCAGGTCTGCTAGTGCAACTGCCAGCATTTCAATTGCGTGATTCCTCACCACGTCTTTGATTGTTCCTGATTTATCAAAGTGTGAAATTCCACCAACTAAAATGGTTTCTGTTAAAAGAACCTGAATCGACACAACGTTCTCATTGTTGAGGAAATCAGTGAATTTCGTTGTTTTCTGTATTTCTGGATAAGCCAAAGAGAGTGGCTTTGCTAGGTAATGATCAATAAATACCGTGTTATCAAACTCTGTTAACTTAGAAAAGTCTTCAAATGTCTCACCAAATGGTTTCTCAAATACCATTTTTCCTTTAGAAATCTCTCTTACCTTTTTAGCCAAATTGTAAAATACAGAAGTTGGTAACGTGAAGTAAAATACTGTTTCATCTGTTGCTACTTTGCTGAGCTCTGTTAGATCGTCATATGACCCCCGTAAATAAACAATACTGTCTAAAAATTCCTGAGAATATTCCTTGTAGAACTCCAACAACTTCTTGTCGTAGCTGTCTTTCAGGTCACTTCTAGCATACACTATGATCTGTATGTTCTTGTCTTTGAGCTTATAAAGTTCAGGAACCAGCTTGAGTAATGCTAGGTTTCCACTTCCTCCCAACAACACAATTTGCTTCATAAAAATCCTGGGTTTCTTTTTTTAAAAACAGTCAACCACCTGAAACAGCAATATGCATTGGTGCTTTGAATAAGCGAATTATATT